CGTCTAGGTGTCCGGCAATCTCCAATACAAATCACCTGTGAGGTTTCAGTCTGTGTCTTTCATCACTCGAAGCGTCTATGTGTCCGGCATTATCCAACATCACTCAACTCGTGAGGTTTCAGTATGTAGCTATCCCCACGCAGCGCGTCTATGTGTCTGGCAAACTCAAAAACCAATCCATCTGTGAGGTTTCAGTATGCAGCTGTATTCACTCAACACGTCTATTTGTCCGGCAATCTCCAATGCAAATCACCTGTGAGGTTTCAGTATGTGTCTTTCCTCACTCAAAGCGTCTATGTGTCCGGCACTATCCAACATCACTCAACTCGTGAGGTTTCAGTATGTAGCTATCCCCACGCAGCGCGTCTAGACTGTGTCTGGCAAACTCAACAACCAATCCATCTTTGAGGTGTCAGTATGCAGGTATCTTCACTCAACGCGTCTGGGTGTCCGGCAATCTCCAATACAAATCACCTGTGAGGTTCCGGTATGTGTCTTTCCTCACTCAAAGCGTTTATGTGTCCGGCACTATCCAACATCACTCAACTCGTGAGGTTTCAGTATGTAGCTATCCCCACGCAGCGCGTCTAGACTGTGTCTGGCAAACTCAACAACCAATCCATCTTTGAGGTGTCAGTATGCAGGTATCTTCACTCAACGCGTCTGGGTGTCCGGCAATCTCCAATACAAATCACCTGTGAGGTTCCGGTATGTGTCTTTCCTCACTCAAAGCGTTTATGTGTCCGGCACTATCCAACATCACTCAACTCGTGAGGTTTCAGTATGTAGCTATCCCCACGCAGCGCGTCTAGACTGTGTCTGGCAAACTCAACAACCAATCCATCTTTGAGGTGTCAGTATGCAGGTATCTTCACTCAACGCGTCTGGGTGTCCGGCAATCTCCAATACAAATCACCTGTGAGGTTTTAGTATGTGTCTTTTCTCAAATCGTATCCATCCGGCACTATCCAACATCACTCAACTCGTGAGGTTTCAGTATGTAGCTATCCCCACTCAGCGCGTCTATGTGTCTGGCAAACTCATAAACCAATCCATCTGTGACGTTTCAGTATGCAGCTATCCTCACTCAGCACGTCTAGGTGTCCGGCAATCTCCAATACAAATCACCTGTGAGGTTTTAGTATGTGTCTTTTCTCAAATCGTATCCATCCGGCACTATCCAACATCACTCAACTCGTGAGGTTTCAGTATGTAGCTATCCCCACTCAGCGCGTCTATGTGTCTGGCAAACTCATAAACCAATCCATCTGTGACGTTTCAGTATGCAGCTATCCTCACTCAGCACGTCTAGGTGTCCGGCAATCTCCAATACATATCACCTGTGAGGTTCAATATGTGTCTATCCTCATTCAACACGTCTATGTGTCCGGCACTCCAACATCACTCAACCCGTGGGGTTTCAGTACGCAGCTATCCCCACTCAACCCGTCCATGTGTCTGGCAATCTCAAACCTCACTCAACCCTTGGGGTTTCAGTATACAGCTATAATCACTCAACACGTCTATGTGTCTGGCAATCTCCCACATCACTCAACCTGTGAGGTTTCCGAAAGCAATCCTCACTCCACGCATCCATGCGTCACGCGTCTTTGGTAGCGCATTTTATGGGGGCTATTTTTGGGGTAGCGTGTTTTACAGCGCATTGCCAACAGCGCCAACCCACTTAACTCTAGATTGGGGCGGTGGGCGGGGTAGAGGTGTAGCCCCGACGAGAACATAATGCTGCACGACCCCATCAAGGTAAAGGGGGTTCGGGCAGGAGGTTGACGGGGGGTGGGGGGAGGGTGGAACTCATGTTTTTCTTGCCTTTAATTGTTATACCATTGGGGGTCGGGTGTGTGGAAGGAAGTTGTGCGCACACTATAAGCCTTTGCTACTGCGGTAGTGTTCTTTGTGCGAGAGCGTTATTCTTCCCTACTGCAGTGGGTGGCCCGATATTGTGCCGGTTGAATGGTGCCGGTTGCCGTTATAGTGGCGGTGTTTTCACCTCGCACACACTGGAATACCAAGTCGTTCTGTACTTCGAATAGGGCCGGTGTCCGGTTAAGTGCCGGTGAATTTTCTCTGCACATACCGGCACTATATCGGGCCACCCACTGCTGTGCTAACGTTGGTCACATGTTTCGTTTGCGTTTGGCATCCTGTCGTATTATTTGGTGTTGCTTGAGGCTGGACTCGGGGGGTTCGGATATTATCGGGCATTCTTCGGTCTCTCTCTCCGCCCCCCCCCGCCCGCCCGCCCGCCCGCCGTGCTCAACGGCTTACGGTGGTGGCGGCACACATTCAACTGCAATATCACTGCTGTCAAGGCGTTCGGAGTCCAACACGACGAAAAAAACTCTACCGCGCCCCTTAACGCCTGCCAACCTCGCTCGACCTTTCCCCCGCAACAACGACGCAAACACAGCGTCACGGCTGCAAGGCGTGGCTTAGTGTGGCGCGAGACGTGCCGGGAAGGAGCACGCTCCAGTGCCACAACCGTTTCCTCAAGAGCGGTCTTCAGTGGCTTACCGCGTCGGCGGCCCCCCGGCCGCCGCCGACGCCGCATCACCACCACCACCAGCCGAAGCCGGCACCTACCACCGGCCACGCCGACACCGCAGGCGGGGACGACGAAACGCCTCCCCAAGGCGGCTTCGCCAAAGAGGGGGAGGAGGAGGAGGAGGAGGAGAAGGAGGAGGAGGAGGAGAGCAACGAAGAAGATGAAGAAGTAGACGACGACGACGACGACGACGACGACGACGACGACGAAGATTTCGTGCCGCCGGGCGGAGGCGGGGGCGGCGGCGGAGTCCGCTCGCGAGGGCACCACCCTAACGCCTCCCCGGCGGCCAGGCACCGGGACCACCATCACCACCGGCCCCCCGACCACCCCAACTCACGAACGAATCGGAGCTGGGGCACCTGGACGCTGGAAGAGGAGCGCCACCTCTGCCTCGCGGTGCGCGCGCTCATGCCGAGGGAGAGGCGGATGGGGGCCCCGCCGTTCGGGGAGGGCGACGGAAGGGGGGGGGCTACCGCTGCTGCTGCTGCTGCTGCTGCGGGGAAGAGCGGCGAAGGGAGGAAGAGGCGGCGAGATTGTGACGGTGACGAGCCTAGGCCGTCAGGGGGCGGGGGGAGGGCACCGGAGACGCGAACGCGACGGGGACGCCCTCGAAAGAACAGCCGCAGCAGCAGCAGCAGCAGCAGCAAGCCGAACTTGCTGGATTGCCTCCAGGAGGTGAACTGGCAGGAGGTGGCGAGGCTCATGTCAAACGGAAGGAGCGACAAGCAGTGCCGGCTCAAGTGGTTCGAGGCGATCGACCCTTCCGTGAACCGCCGGAGGGAGTGGGACGCGGAGGAGGACGAGCGGCTGCGAAAGGGTGAGAGGTGATGGTGGTGGTGGTTGTGTCACGGAGTGTAGCGCCCGCGATTAAGAAAAAATATATATGAAGCGAAGGCTCAGATTTTGGTGATGAAGAAGAAAACTTGACCAAGAAGCACAGCTCAGCCGTTGATCCTACACTAACCTCTATACAGTAGTAGAAGTATAAAATACGATGACCTATGCTCGACGGTGTTGACGAATAAGAAAAATTGAACCTCGAACCCCAAGCTGACGTTTCTTAAAAAGCGGGCGCTGACTGCTGTATTGTTGTGGCGTTTGCAGTGTTTGCCTTGCGAATATACTGCTTGTTTTTGTGCAACGAACCCTGTAGCTAAGACTTGCGGGGGTAGATCGAGTCTATGAAATGTGCCATTACTTGCAGCCCTACACCGCGGTCGGTGTTTGTGGCGAATGAGTGCTCCCCCGGAAGACCGCCATTTCCAACCCCGACGTCCTATTCCGTGCCATCTCTAGCTCTCGAAATTTGGGGCCAAGACGCCGCTCAAAACGCTATCCTTAACGGATCCGCTAAGACAACCTCGTATCCGCCGTTCGTCCGGCAGCGGTGGAGGCTAGGGGGATGGGGGAGTGGAGGGCCATAGAGATGGACATGGCGAACTGGGCGCAGAAGCGGGGCGTGCTGAGGCGCACCGACCACTCATGCCGGAGGAGGTACATCGTCATCGAGCCGGAGAAGTACGAGAAACACTTGAGGGTAAGTTTTTTTTCGTTTTTTTCCCTCTCGAGCGGAGTGGGCAACAAACAATCACGGGGTCCCAGACCATAGCCTTTAGAATTCATTTATCTGTTTTCGATCGCGCTACGACTGAAGTTTTGTCACTGGTCAGCCGGTTGATGCTACTAAATATATGACACACAGTTGACAGGGTGGCAGCTTGTCTTTTAGGGGTTATGTGTAGGTCGTGTCGATTTTGGCCCGGACTGCGGGTTGAGGATGGTCATATGGCGGAATAGTCGTGTCGGCAGCGTAAGGACTTTTTTTTTTGTTGTTGTTTCTCAGTGAGAGCTCGCTTCTCCTTGCAAACGCTGTGTACTTCTGTCGTCCAGTTGGCCGATTCCTCTCCAGATGCTCACGCGATAGTTTGATGCCTCGTAGAACACGATGACATAACAGAACATTCGGGACTTGTTGGCGCAAAAACCCGACCCACCACCTTGATCCCTTTGTTTCAATATGCCCGCGTGTGCTCTCGCTTTTCTTTTGGATACCAACCGAAGCTGCTTCTTTTCCGGCACATGCAAGAAGCCCACCACCGCTCCCTTGGCACCCGTCTTCCCAACATTCGCGCGCGCTTGCGCCGTCGCTTTTCCTTTATTTCCGATCGCTTTGTTTCTTCGATGCCGACCGAAAACTCCTCCTTGTTCCAGTACGTTCAAGACCGACGGGAGGTAGAGCCCAGGCTAAACGCCCCCTGCTTCGCCGCCCACGGCTTCGGCAAGACCGAGGTCACCCTGAAGGACTTCGACCTTGTCGACGACGAGCTCAGCGGAAGCAATCATGATGGCGGCGGCGGCGACGACGGCGACGACAAGTGGTAGTGGCGGCGGCGTTTACTGTCCTTGTTGGTGGTGCCTGCCTGCCTGTCACTGCGAACACAGTTAGGACCCGCACTCCCGAACCTCTTATTTTGGCCGAGGTTCGTGTCTTGCTTCTTTGTGGGGTACTGCTGTACCCCCACGGCGACTATATGAATTGTAGCGAAGGCTTCTTGATTCAGTACCGGTTCGTATGGTCAAGTTCTTACATCTTGGAAATTGCTTGGCTCAAGTTCTCAAGTACCAACTTCTTGTGTGCGGGTCGGTTCTTGTATTGCATAGTCTATGCATAGACTAGGTGGAGTTTCTAGAAAACACGAAACAAACACAAGAACGTCACGGAGGGACTGGCTACCCACTCGAGATAAATCTCACCCGAGGATGGATACATGCTGGTACAGCCTGTGTGAGAGAAACTACACGCACGCGACCGGCCTTCGTATGCTGAGCCTATGTGTGCTGGCAAACTTCTGGCGCCAACGAGAATTGCGAGTGTGCGTATCGCATCTGCAGTCTATATGCAGCACAAGTATTATGTATGATACATGCGTGATGAGGCTGCTGGTGTATGGATTGGCGCATGCACACGCATAGACTATTGTGTATTTTTTCAAGGGTGTGTCGGGTAGGGTACGGGTACGTTGGTTATGGGTATGGGCACTGTACCCAACGTACCCAGAGTTTGGGTACGGGTACGGGAGTCGTGCCCAAAGTACCCAAATTTTGGGTACGGGTACGAGAGTCGTACCCAATGTACCCGGGTAACCCGGGTAGTTGATGCGTGGGTATGGGTATTTGGGTATGGGTACGGGTGTGGTACCCATATTTTGGGTACGTTGGGTACGGGTGTGTGTGTGTGTGTTGTTGTGTTTTCGTCCTATTTATTTTGGCGACAGGCCCCCCATTTTTCGTGGTGAGACGTGTACTACACTTTTCAGCGTATGTAGAGTACTTCACTTTTCAGTGTATTTTTTCGTACAACTACAACCATCCAGGGTCACACAGGAGGGGGTAAACACCAGGCAGGGCTTTTTCTTCTTTTTATTTCTTTTCATGCCCCACCTTCCTCCTGCGGTGCGTGCTGAAGTTTATTTTTATCGCGAGAAGGGTCCAGCCGTCCCTTTCCCTCGTCAACGGTGCTAACGTTGAAGTTTGGTACTCACGAGAGCTTTTTAGCTATATTTCGCTTTCTTCCGCACATTTCGTAAATTTTTCACCCTATGGGGATTCGAACTCACGATCTCTGCGAATACCGCAAGACCACACCGGTGGTCTAGTGGTATCCTCGCAATCCGCTAGTCGCAGAGGTCGTGAGTTCGAATCCCCATGGGGTGAACAAATTACGAAATGTGCGGGTGAAGCGAATTATAGCTAACAACAAACTCTCGTGAGTACCAAACTCCGACGTTATTAGCACCGTTGACGAGGGAAAGCGACGGCTGGACCCTTCTCGCGATAAAAATAAACTTCAGCACGCACCGCAGGAGGAAGGTGGGGGGCATGAAAAGAAATAATAATAAGAAAAAAGCCCTGGTGTTTACCCCCTCCTGTGTGACCCTGGATGGTTGTAGTTGTAAGAAAGAATACACTGAAAAGTGTAGTACTCTACATGCGCTGAAAAGTGTAGTAAACTTCTCACCACGAAAAATCGGGGGACTGTCGCCATAATAAATAGGACGAAAACACACACACAACACACACTTTCACGGATCCGAGTTTTTGACAGAAGCATCGGACAAGCGCACCGCGGGCGCTGTAACATCACTGAGAACGCTAGAAAGACCGGCCAGACTCACGTCCAGGTCTGTCTGTTGTTGTGGAGATGGACAAGCGGCAGAGTTTCTGACGCAGCGTTCAGTCCGTTCTTGGTCCAAAACTATGCGTGGTGCTCTCGTCTTCAACTGCTGCTGTTGTTTGTGCTGGGGAGTTTTTTTCAATCACACAAGGCAAACACGGAAACAGTAGAACGAGTACTACAGCAGCAGCACCAAGACCTCCAACAACGCGCTGATTCCTTCGGTTCGACTGTCTATTATTATACCATTTCCCGGCGCCGTGCTGCTTCGTGGGTATTGGGTGCTTGGGTGCTGCTCAATAAGGTGTGGGAGAGACGTGTGCGGCGAGATAATCTGTTTTTGGTCGGACACGTCAACATCAATCCACGGCAGCAGAAGAGCAACAGGGCCTCCGATACGCCAATTCTTTCGGATTGGCCATCTATATGATGCTGGCCGTCAGCGCGGCTGCCGCCCTATGATTGTTGAGCTTGTCTACCTTTGGACGGGTGGTGGTCAAAGATGGGAGTCGCAACCGTGAAAACTAAGCTGGCAAACTGAAGAAATCGCAAGCAGCACCCAGGTTGCGACACTCTGCCCTGCGCCTGTTGTTGCTGAAAATTGAAAACAGCAGGCCAACGGGTGGATAGGATCTTTCCAAGTGTGTTGTCCTCACTGTCGGATGCTGCTCATCGCGCTTTCACCGCTGCTCTACATCACCATACACCGAGTCAACCAGTTGTGTGCCGACCTTCCTACCAAGCCCTTCTCAAATCTTTGACGCAGCAGCAGATTCGCAGTCTTGCCATTGTGTCCCAGTAATTCTCTTCATATTGCATTCCTTCTTCCTACTCCCGAACTGGATCCCCCGGGAGTCATCTTCGTCTACGGGCGCTACTCCAGTGTCCATGATCACCGTTTCCTTCACTTCGCCCTCTTGCAATGCGGGAACGAGACGTGGGTACGTCTTGCTGACGTAGCACTGCTCATACTCGCAACGCTGGCACGCCGAGCAGAAGCACGACGCCAGCCGAGTCCTGAGCCTGTACGTCCGTTTCACCTTTCTGCAAGTCACGTCTTCCTCCCGCGACACCGGATCCTGCAACTTAGCCCCCTTACCCGTCCATCTGCTCGCTACTGCACCCAACACCTTGACTTCCCGCAACCTTCTCTTCTCTTGACTCGACAAGCTACCCCGCCCTTCGCTCTTTCGTACCAGCTTTCAGTCATCTACGCGCCCCTCGGTTGTGGTGGACCCATCCCACTTGGGAGTATTTGCTCCCGCGAAGTGGTACATGTCTCGTGTACCCTCTGTGCCTGCCAGGACCGAATTTGGCCGATACATCTCCTTCTTGCCGATAAACTCGACGTGCACCCTCCGCATGCGGTACGGAGACCACTTTGCAAAATACTTCCGCATACCCTCCTCCCCCTCGCTGCCTGCCTTCTCCCGAAAGAAGCTTCGCAAAAAGCTGACCACCCCGTCCGCCCCCATGATTCGCTTGCCAAATCTCTCCCTCCTCTTCATGGCGTTCTTTGCGACTCCGCCGATCCCATCATGGCAACCTTTGAAGTGAGATGTGGCCGCGANCCTCCTCTTCATGGCGTTCTTTGCCACTCCGCCAATCCCACCATGGCAATCTTTGAAGTGAGATGTGGACGCGACGTGATGATCGATGAAGAAGCCGATTTGCCGCACGCTGTCGGCCGGAAATTCCGCCTTCCCTTGTACTGCTTCCCGCGTCCATCCGTGAACATATGAATCCGGGGCGTCCGGCCTTCTTTCCGGGCGGCAGCTGTTGCTTCGCTTCCATCTCCACGCAGGTAGTAGTCCGCCATCCTGGCCAAGCCGTGCAGGTGGAAATCGCAGTCATGCGCCATGTCTTCAGATGCAAAGATCCATGATTCCGTCACGTGCACCCTGCCACTCCCACGTGCGTCTGCGGGTTGAACCAGGCACTTACACGGCGTCGAGAGGAAGAGCGTGCGGCCAGGGTCAGTGAAGTCGTCGCTTTGTCGCTCCTCTAAGCTCTTGTAGGACGCCCAGTTGAGAAACTTGGCGTACACCACGTCGCCCCCGCCCGGCTCGGTGAGCTGCCGCCGAGGTTGGCGGTGAGCTGTAGGAGACTTACTCGCCTTCCACATGTCGCGCTCAGCTGAGTTGCCATGCTGGCGTGATACCTCGTCCGTGTGCCAGCAGTACTGCCTCATCAACTCCAGCAGCTCTTCGCTGGCGGCATTGCTTTGCTTAGCTCGGGGCCAAAACCAGTAGACACCGCGTTTTATCGCCTAGGTTGGATCAAGATCGGACAGCAAATTCTTGGCACGCTCCACCGCGGAGTTGAGGGCGTGCTGGCGAACCCCCAGTGCCTTTGTCCTAAGTGCTGCCGACAACGATGGGACCTCGTCTACGCCGTCCACAGGAAAGGCCGCAGCGGTGAGGATCGTTTCCAACGTGCGGCTTCCCTCCTTGGTTCTACGTTGCTTTATTCAATAAAGTTACACCATTAGACTAGTCAGCGCTGACTGAGTAGTCTAATGGGTAAGCCTCTACCAATCGAAAGATACACTCTCGGCTCGTAGAATCCCTGGCTGTGAGTAAAGATCTCCGGGGACGGACCCCTCGCGACGCTGCAGGAAGAGNGGGTAAGCCTCTACCAATCGAAAGATACACTCTCGGCTCGTAGAATCCCTGGCTGTGAGTAAAGATCTCCGGGGACGGACCCCTCGCGACGCTGCAGGAAGAGAACTATGTATGGTGCTTTTTCGTAAAGTGATCAGCCCGGGATTTGAACCTGTGCGCGTATCCTTCGATAGCTAAAGGCTTACCCATTAGACTACTCAGTCAGCGCTGACTGAGTAGCCTTTCCTAACACAAGATACACTCTCGGCTCGTAGAATCCCGGGCTGCGAGTATATCTTTTGCTAGCGTATGACACGTCGTCTACGAGATTCGGTCGAGCTTGGTTTAGGAGTATCGCTTTGCGGCGATCGAGAGCAGGGTCAAGATGGCTACCAGGCGCAAAGATGAGGCCCGCCAAGCAGCGGAGGCCCGCCAAGCAGCGGAGGACAACAAGATAGCTCCCGCAGCGTCGACAAGAGCGCGCGGTTTGAAGCTGAAGAAGTCAACAGGAGTCCGGACGTCAGCTGC